TTCACAAATTTAGTCATTGAGCTCATGTTGTACCATTGAGAATGGTATATTGTATTGGTGAATCTTCGACAGAAGAAAGTGTTTCATAACTCTAAATGAATTCTTAGAGCAACTATTGTTCAATCATACAGCACGTTCTATGTCAATCACTTCAGCATTACACTGACTTCTCAAAATGTAGATCATTCAATTGACGTAAGATTCTCCTGCGGTATTTAATTCACGACGTTTTCTTTAGATTTCTTCAACAACATTACCTGGTGTTTTGCAATCAGCTAGTGCAGAATTCACATATTATTTTCATGTTCTTTGACCTTTTTGAAATGTGTTTGTTATTGTCTATCAGACTTCAATACCATCAATGGATACTACCACTAAAATCAATTCACAAGTCACTGGTGCTGCACTGAATCTGAAGTGGACATATTTTGACGGAATAACAACCATTTCAATAGTTACCAACAACCTTGCGGCGTGCCAATGGCTCGGCATCGGCTTCTCGCTTGATGATAGAATGGTATAGGCCAATTGAAGCTTTCTTTTTATTCTTTGACCTTTTTTTGTGTAGGATGATGATCATGTATTTGTGTGCCAACGCTTGAGTGATGATACAATTCCACTTCAACGTTTCATCAATCCTGGCGGTTATTCGTCTTCAACTATAATTACTGCGGATTCCAATTATGGTGGTATATTTACAGTAACCCGAGTAGCTCTAAACAATGGTGTGGCCTATTGTGAATCTACTCTGTCAAATTTTACTACTACAACGAGTCGACGAAGAAAACGGAGCATTTCTTTACTTTCACAAAGTACACAATATCGTATTCTTATGATCACAGGACATCTTTCTGGCTCAAGTAGGGTGCTTTTTTTCACAAAAATTATATTTGAGTTTTGCCCATGCTAACATGATAGATGCATTAGTACAGCATTTCTCGGTAGCTGTGCTAACTCAAAAGATTCAAGTTGATGAATTCGGAACCACAGCGACGACTAATATTGAAGGATCCGACGATGATAAAGCAATATTCTTGCGTGCTCATGGTATTATTATGCTGTTTATTTGGATGCTATTTGTTCCAACAGTTATTCTCATTGCCCCGTATTTCAAGTAGTCTTGGCCCACACGAAAACTTTGTGGTAAACCAATGTGGTTTGCTGTTCATCGATCAGTAATGATTTTTGCTGCATTAATGACACTAATAGCATTCGCCGCGATTCTTAAGTATAATCAAGGTACATGGGTTTCACAATAGGAGTCGCATGAAGTTGCTCATTCAATCATCGGCATGCTTGTTATTAGTGCTGCTATTATCCGACCAATGATGGCTCTATTTCAATGTCATCCCGATCATCAGCATCGGTTTATTTTTAACAATGCACATACTCTAGTCGGCATCAGTGCATTATTTCTCTCGATTATTGCTATTTTGATTGGTTTCGAGTGTCTCGACATTTCCTACCGCAAGAAATGGTCACCGCTTAGCGTTAAAAATCGAGACAAACTTGGGCAAATGAATGCTCTTCATAACGGTAGTGAGGCAACACTGGTGAATGACAGATCNGAAATAAGTGTCATAGACACAGCTTCTCGTGAGGAATCTGAGTATATTAGTTCTAGAATGTCAACGAAATGAAAAAATTTTTTTTTATGGACAACACTTTAAAATACCCTGATCTTTTAGAAAAAAATGAGTCATAAAAAAGACTATCGAGAAAAACTCGAATTTTTTAACAAAAGCGTTTCAAAAAAAAATTATATATTTTTACTCAGGTCGACAAGCTCTATCTACCCATGTAAAAAAAACGAAAAAAAATTGCTTTTATTTTGCATTATTCCTACCTTAGTAAAATGAGATAATCATAAGACAATGTTTAATCATGTAACATAATTGAAAAAAATTATTTACAATAATGGGAGTTTTGTTTAAATACTACGTTAATGTTAAAGCGTAGAGAACCGTGAAGTTAGAGCCAAATTTTTGTTTTCATCAACATTGTGTCGTCTTATTTACAAGGGATGGTGTCCAAATCATGAAAAATCAAAATCTTGAGCAAATATATTTTCGAAAAGTAGTATCTAATAGGTCTTCTGGTAGAATTCGAATTTGTGGGTGAGAATATAGGTTTTAGTCGATGCATTGATCAACGGCGCAGCTGAATCGCTTGAGTGTTGGTGGCTCAGTCGATCGATTTACACCACTAGGTGACAGTGAGAAGGGAGTCAAAACATTTACACTCTTTCGCACTCATCAGTTCGATAGTGGACAAGAAAGGAGAAAATAGAAACACATCGTTTTCGAGCAACAGAATGCAAGAATAAAAAAAGAAGGTTAAATTAGTACAGTAGAAAATCGATTAAGTACACAAAAATGAGCCACACCATCCAATATTCGAGTTGGTATAACAGTCGGTTTCATTCCACGAAAAACAACACATCAAGTAAGGAGTAAATATTCTCCGATGAAACTATATAAGATATCATTTGTTTAATAATTTCACAAACAAGATTCACAAACTCGATTTGAAGCTGTCAAATTTTGACATCAATATTAGAAAACATTCGCATTCAAGAGGATTCATTCTTGGTATCGACAAAGGTGTTTTCTATTTAAATGATCTATCAATAAAACATACAGTGAAATAAAACTTCAGAGAGCATAATATAACAATGAAAGTGATGATCAGACAATTAAAAAAAGAAATAATGACATAATATGCAAAATGTCTCGAACTGATGTCATTGACGTTATCAGTTATTAAGACTAGACATATTGAGGTCAAATCAAAGGTCTCATAAGAAAACTAATAAATTTAAAATATACACTGTCCTTGTCACTCATGTACCTAAATATTTGAAACTTAAGATATTTACAGTATATGTAAGGTGCTCATAGTTTAAAACTTCAGCACATTTTCTATTTTCTATTTTCACAATGGTACGATAGAGTTCATCGGGATGTATAAGAAAAAGTACGTCTAAAATTATTAAAAACGTTTTTACACAAATGAGAATTTTGAGTCTATTTTCCAAATATGTGAAAATGATGGTATCTTCGATTTTTTTTTGCGAAATATTGTTTTTTAATTTGAAACATATTTTTTCTTATGCAACTCGATAGACTCTAGACAATCAGCACGATAAAAGAGAAAAAACTCTACTGCAATTTTGAACCATGTGTACCTTATATATACTGTAAAGACCTTTAAATTCGAATATTTGGGTTAGCACACACACTAACAACATAAACATCTCCATTAGTAGATTCATTATTATGAAATCAGAGACAATGAATAACTGTAACACGGTCACATTTATAGCTACCACTTGTTGTTTATCTAGAGTCTGTACGGACTCCAGTTGATAAAATAAATATAATACACGAAGTTGTTACTAGTTTATTTTCGACATGTGAAGATTTGATTACAAGAAGAACAAACAGAAAAATAGTTTGTTAGAAATATATTTATCTACGCAGTTTCTTTTTATGGTTTTATCATTCTCTATTTTCAAGGCGTTTGAAATCATGCATTATTATTCAGTATTTATATATACTTTGAACTGCTCTACATATGAAGAACAATTGCATATAACTGACTGATGTTATCAATGTGCTATATTAAGCATCCCCAACGCCAATCCTAAAGAGACATGACTTGGTTAAATATTATAAATATGTGCTTATAATCGTGTGATTAATGTGGTTGGAGTCCGTGCAAACTCCAGGTGATCTTGTCACGGTTAAATAGAACTTTTTTCTTGTTACAACATGCATACTAATCAAAGTTATTAAGTGTTATCGTCGACTTTCATATTAATATCAACATCTGCATCATCTTCGTTTTTGTCAACCTCTCAGTAATTTTTTACATTCTTCATATGATGTATAGGTTTCTTTGACACAAAATCATCATTAACAAGTTGTCACTGCATCTATGAATAAGTATGTTTCTATTTCTGGCCATCTTAACTGATAGTTGTCATTTTTAATAACATTACTAGTGAACATTTAGTTTGTAAATCAATTATCATTTCTTTTGTAACTATCCGAATAAGTACGTAATAGTAATATGAAGAGCAAGATAAGACAAGTATTACGTATGCATGAAATGTGTTATCACTTCTATTTGTTAATAGTTGTTACCTTTTAAAATATGGTTAACTGAAGTAGGTCCTGGCAATACAAAAGAACGCAAAACATCAAAATTCAAAATTTCAACCTGAATTCGAAAGTCCCAAATCCATGAATTTCCGATAGATTCTCATGGGAAAACTCGGAAGAATGGTAGGAATTTTCAGATCAAATAAGCATGGTCGTAAATGAACTTTTGGGTTGGTTTTTCATCGTGTGGCGGGTGCAGTACTACGACCGTATTTTGCTATATCGGATACTCAATTTTTTGACTGTTCGATAACTGTGTACAGCACGATAAAATATAATTGTAATGCGGCACTAACCAAACGTCAATTTATAACTATTGACGATCACAAAGCACATGAAATGATAGTATATAGTACTGTTTTTGACCGTCTTGACTACTGAAATCATCGTCCTAGGAACTTGGAAGTAGAAGTTTGATGCTCGAATTTTCCTGGTTCTTACCCGAATCCCGAGTTTTTCAGTCTGAAACGAGCCATATTTCTTTACTTGGTATTTAATATATTTAGATTTAAATTGCTTTTCTTATTAATACAACAATATATAGGCTTTTCTAGTATAGAATAAAATCATTTAATTTAATTGACACGTTTTTTTTTTATTTACTGGTTCGAAAAGGGAAGAACATATCATCTAGATTAAACATACAAAAAAAAAACAAGAGAGAAAGAAACAAAAAACAATTAAACGAAAAAAAAATAGGGAGATAGAGACAACATATGATTAGGCATCAAAGGAAGTTGCATAGGTAGAGAGTATAAATCTTCCTGAGATTCCAATATAATTTAATATAATACGAGTATCACAGATAAAAATAAATTTCTTTATTTTTTTGTTTTAAACATCTGTATCTTTGGATGATTTATTTTCTGATTTTTCATTTTTCGAATATTGTTGCTGATTATTATTTGTCAATAATGATAATGGTGGAATGCGAGATGCTCTTTGTCGATGAGAATTTTTATTACCATTTTGATAATTTAAATTTGTTTCTTGTGTACTCGTATTTATATTATTTTCATTATTTGTTATTTCACTTGTTGGAATATTCTGATGATGACGTTGAGGATTAACAGTTGAATAAAGTCGATTGACTGTTTTATAACGTGTCCATAATTGATTGATTATTTCTGTGACAACAAGATCACTACTATTTAATGAAAGTAAACGTGTTAATAAAACTCCATCATCTTTTAAATAATGTAAAACAAAGTCACGTGCTTCTTGACGTTCTTCTTTAGGATTAAATGATGACATTATACCGAGATGACGTTTGATAAATCGTACTTTTTCACCTAAAAATTTATTTGTTTAGTTAATCAGATAAGAGAATATTGTCTTTTGAAAAGTGAATTTTAAATATTCGAAAAGATATTCGAAAACATAATTGAATATCATTATCAATCATGTATGTTTACGAATGACGATTACAACTATTGGACACCAATTGAGTTCATATGTAGGATCCGACGAGATCAGTGACAGTGTACAAAGGTTAACGCTCAATGCTTTTGTTCTCTCGCATTTATGACCATTTTACTAAATTTTCAATCTCAAGTCAACTTCCTGGTAAAAGTTAGAATGGCAAAAGTGTAATCTAAAATTTTATCCATGAGTAAATCTCATCATTATAAGATTGCTCTAAAAACATTCATAAGCAAAGATTAGAACATCAACTCTTTTCTTTATCATTGAATATCTCGAAAAAGAATTGTATTTTTCAAATCGAATTTTTAGAAGAAAAAAAAAACTAATAACAATGAGATTTTTAACTAAAAAGTTAGCTTCAGAATGAAAATTTAATAGTATAGATATAACTTCGGTAGAACAAGACATGAGTACAAATCTTTTTAGACTGTCACTGATCTCATTGAATTATCCATATAGGGATATTATCAGCTCGATCAGTATTTGACAGTTGTGTACGTTCCTTGACAACTTAGGCATGATATTGCAATTTTCTATAACACTTTTACTCACATAGTTGACATTTCAAGGATTTTTCTATATTATCTAAACGATTACATCTAATCTAGTCTGGACTCTGTGTATACTACAGTTGGTTAGATTTGAATCTATAACAGACATAATGGATTCTGTAATAGTATTATTATAATAATCAGATATTGATAATATAATCAAGAAAAGTTTTGCCATGTTTTTTTTTCCTCAAATAAATTACAGAATAAGAAAAAAATTTCGATAATATTTTTCATATGTATCAAATATTATTTAGATGAGAACACTCGACAAGCTTTCATCGATGTCATTGAACAGGTTATAACCGTTATGATCTTCCTTGTTCGTTGTCTTGAACTGATTCTACTGTTATAAACTTTCTAGGAAAAGTTTCGATTATTTTCTGAACAACAAGCATTATTAGAAAATATCCAAACAAAAAAGATTTGCTAGATTATACTATGAATCTTATTAAAATTAGAATGAAATGGGAAAGAAAATCTTGAACTTACGTGGTACAGTACAATGATATAACCACATAAGAAAATCATAAATGGTCGCTTTATAAAATAAAAAAATATAATTAAAAAAAAAAATGAATATTTTCAAATTTTTATATTATACCAGCGCTTAGTGATATAAGCCAGAACCATTGAATAATGAAAATAACTTCATTAAATAAATTAATTCTTAGCACACATTGCACAGTATAAAAATGATTAATACCAATTTCTCGAATTTTAAAATCGCTGAAAAGAAACAGCATGTCATTTCATTAATAAAATCTTTGACTTAAAGCAAAGCTTGGCTCTTGTCAATGACGGATTATTAAAAATACAAGAACTGTGAGTATGACAGTTCCGCCCTTTTGAATTTTTTTTTTTTCAATAGAAAAAAAAGGTAAAAAAAATGAATTGATAGAATCTCTCATGTACGTTAAAATGTTTGTTTGTTTTTCTTTTTGACTCAAAATCGCTCTTCTTCTCTACTAAAGCATCTCGTTTTTGTTGAAATTCTAAATTCGTCTTTTATTGATATGTCATCATACATACCAATATGTCACTTTAGGAAAATGTCTATTTTCAGTCCAACGTTGATTTTTAAATAATTGTTCAATAACTTCAAAACCAAATAAATAATATTCATTTCCTAAAAAAGCATTTAATAAAAATAATTGTGCTAAAGTATTCACAAGCCATAATAATTTAACAAGAAAATAGACAATAACAAGATAATTTCCATAATGACGACTTGAACAAAATAAAAATAATTGAAAAAATCGACGAATACACGAATAATGTTTTTCAATATGTCGTCGTGTTAAATGAGCACGTGCTGATATGTAACGTTCAATATTAATAATAATATAACTCATAATACGATCTCGAGATTCATACTGTTCTACTTGTTCATATTTCTAAAAGAAAAATATTATTTTAATAAAATTTAATAATAAAATCTTACAATAGCTGCATCAACTAGATTAACTAAATCAAGACCTGATTTCATATTAAGTGTACGCCAAACAACACGAGGAAAATAAAATAGAAAAGCTTGAAAGAGTAATATGAATGGTACCCATTGATAATAAAGCTATAGAAAAGAATTATTTTATATTTTATATTCAAATTTATCTATATATATATTACAATGTCTTTATTTCGTCGTCCTTGTTCATCATCAGGTAATTCTTGATCAATTGGAATATCTACAAAAAAAACACAAAAAGAAATATTATTTATTCGAAACACAATTCTCATACAATAGGTATTTGCAATCCAACAATAACTATCTGTATATGCTTCATACGAGGGTTTAAATTGAGCTGGCACCTAATAAAAATAAAAATTGAATTTTCAAGAAAAAAAAAACAATCAAGTTTATACCCAACAATCAATTGGATCGCCTACAAAATAAAATAAAAAACAAACATAAAAAAAATTTTCTTTCAATGACCATAATCAATCTAACCGGCATATTGTTTTGTAGTAACAAGAATAGCAAAGACAACACATAATGTTGTTGTATATCGATGATTGAGTCGATCGACATATGAATCATCATCACGAAATTGTCGAACATTCGAAACAGAAAGACCGGCAAGTTGCCTGACTAATTCCATCTATAATATTGTTGTTTGGATTGCTGTTGATGATCATTGGGCATAGTCTTTCTATCAAACAATTAAAACTGTTTCGATCTAGAAAATGAAAAAAAAAAAAAAACGAGAGATAATGAAGAATAAGATTTCTTCTATGTTATGTGTATGTATATAAGACTTCGATTTAATCATAATTTTACCTCATCTTGTTCTTATTTTGCTAGGAAATATTATTCAATTATTTCAGTAGAATAATATTTATATAAAAAATTTCTTTTTTATTGATAGATGTAAGATGTGAAATTGAATAATGGCATTATATTCGTCTCTTCATATTCTTTGCGTTCGCTCTCGCTTCTATATTATCACATTGCATTATCAAAAAATGATTGTGGAAACGAGATTCTCGTTTCTCTATGCGGCATTTCTGTTCCTGTTACAACCATCATCATCATCATCATCATCATCATCATCATTATTATTATTATTACTTGAGAGTAAGACTCGTCATTGAGAAATAGAGCGAACGAAGCGAATAGAATAAGAAACATCCATTTATACATCCATACGCATTGCTCCTCACATCCGGTGATTACATAAAAACTAGCGCAAATATGAAAAAGATGTTCCTAATAGAGAGATACAACTGAAATATATACACGCACATTTATTTTTATAAGATAAAAACATACGCACGCATACACATATCTATTAATTTAATATGATTTCGTTTCAAATAATTAAAATAACTATAATCAATCTATAATATCGATATAAATCAATGCGACAAAGACAAAAAAAAATAGCGATGTGGATAACCATAAGTATAAAATCATAATCACATAGCAGAAATTGCTTAACTAGATTATTTTAGGCGATAAGACATATGCATACTTGCAGTAGCTGATGACGAAATAGAAGATGATTATGTTTTCTTATCATTAGACATTAGGGAATACATGTATCGATTACAGTCAATATATATATATATAAACCTAGTGAAGCAAGTTCTGAGTGTTCATGTCGCTTGTCATCATAAGCTTACAAAATAGTCAATAGAATAAATATTCTCTTTTTTTTTCTTTGAGCACTCTACTGACTCGTTTTCTTTCAATTGCTATTGAGAGACTCTCCCGCACTCGTAACTATCGGTCTGCATATGTTGAAGGCCAACTTGAGAGTTCAACCCATTGAAGTAAACTATCATTATATATCTATGGGTGCCAACATATGTCATGTTGACAACATATATATATAGATAGACATATTTTTAGAATTAACCGTTTGTGTTTTATTGTTCTTTTCTTGTAATGATTGTCTAACTGTCAATCAACTTAATCAGTATTTTACTAAGACCACCTACCTGTATTGACAATTGATATGCTTGTTTTCTGTATCAATCACACAAGCGTTTTGATTATTACAATTATATGAAGAAAAAAAAACAGGAGAAAAAAGAAAAGGCTTCTTCAGTAATTAACAAAATCGTACGGTAGATAACATGCAATGGAAAAATCTTGTATTCTCTTCTATATTCTAACACAATTCATTGATAAAATGAGAGAAAAAGAACGACAAACAAGCAATGATTTTTTCCTCAAGACAACCAGTTATCTATTGGGCTAGTTAGAAACATATAAAACATTAACATAGAACGTATGTACAACAGAAAAAAGAACAACACATCAACAACCATATATCCAAAATGCCATAATACGGAAAGCAATGGAATGTCTGATACTAATCCTTTTCTTCTCTCCTCCTACTTTTACTTGTTCTATTCTATTTCTCTCCTCCTTCTCGAGCGGTCACTCATTCACACGAGTTAGCAAGCAGGAAGTGCTTTACTGCCGGGAGCCACTTGTATTTGTTGGCTATAGTAAGAAACGACTAAGTCGTATTCATCTATTTGAACTGAAAAAGAAGAAGAAGAAGAAGAAAGAAGAGAAAAAAAATGAGCAACAACATTTCATAGTCTTGGAACGCTCTTGCCTGTTTGTTCGTTCATTTTTTTTCTTTTTTTAGTTTCCGATTGCCCTCATGTCATGTACAATAAATGCTCTTATGTGTCCTTTAGAACGTTGTATTATGAACAAAAAAAAAAAAAGATAGTCAGACGACCTAGTCTCTAAATCGCATCTACAAAATAAAGAAGATGAAGCAAGAAAGTGAGAATGGGAAAAAATTAATTTGTTTCTTCGTCTTTTTAAAAAAAAACAACAATCATTGAAGTTTTTATTTTCAAGTATTGAGAAAGAGGCATACAAAAACTAGAGAAGTATCAGATGGCGCCATAAAAGGAAGGAAACGAATAGTACTGCTAAATAATAAGGATGATGATGATGATGATGATGATGATAATAATAATAATAATAATAATAATAAGGCAACGACCGATCGTTGACAATAAAGACTTGATTATATATTAAATAATATGTACATGCATGCTATTCTCATTAGTTTAACTTTTTTTTTCCTGTTTTCTCCATGATAGTGACCTAAACAAATAGATTAGTTATAAAAATATCCTACGAATTTCCTGATTAATCGATTAATTGATTTTCCTAACTTGACATATTGTTTAGAGTTTACATTACGATTTGTCATAAGTTCGTAAAGAAATGAGAATAAGAACAGAAGAAGAAGAAAAATGAAGGAACAAGACAATAACCACATGCTATTTATCTTGCCAGCAATATCTATTGCCTTTAACAGCAGAATGCCATGTTTATATGTTTTTCTGTTAGTAATTTGTATTCTGTATTTTTATCTTAACAATCAATCGTTCTTGATTTCGAATATTAAACATAAGATAGGAATCAATGGGCTATGAAAAGTTCCAGAAAGCTAAGTGCTCCTGAGGCTTTTTCGTCAAAACTATAGACAATTTACGAAAATACCAGCAAATCGAAGTATAGTATTTGAAGATGAAATTTTATTGGCAAATAGAATTTTATTGTAACTAGAATATCTTGAAAATATTTTTTCTTCATAATATATTGAACTTTAGAGCAAAACACAAAATATGAGATTCTCGCATCTCTTATACAATATACATAATGTGTTAATAATTTAATAAATTGTGAAGGAAATATTCTTTTGATTTGTTGATATATGCTATGTCATAGGCTGGAGTTTTAGTTACGTCACTAGCACTCTGAAGGGAAAGTCTAAGGACATTTATCTTTTTTTGTAATTTTTCATACTTCATTAAGACCTATCCAATGCATAGAGGTCGATGTTAAAACACGGTAATTTACTTGGAACAGTACTCTCGTTAGGACTCTGTCATAGAACATTGATGGTGATTGATGACATATGAAACTTAGCGAAATTGTTTTATAATAAGCATAACAAAGTACTTTTATTCACACGTATATAATTAGAAAAGAAAATATTCTTATGACAACTGTCTAATTGAATGATTTTCATTATTCTAGCTGAATTTTTATTTGATTTCGAATTTTTTGTACTAGATTTCTATGCTTTTTTTACACCATACAATAAAAAGAAAAACTTAATTTTTGTTATCATTAGAAGTCTAGACAAGTCATTTTATAAGATAAGTATTGAAGTAACTGATACAAAAAAAGCTTTTCGTTTCTTGTCTTGTTATTCATAAAAGATCAATGAAGAAACAACAAGAATAATGTCGTATAAAACTAATCTATCGTATTATTTGTCTAATAATGTTTACCTTATTTAAGTTCATACTGCTCTCAAAGCCGATTGCACGTCAGGAACATTCAACTCGAATGAAATTATCAAGATAAGTAGCGAAGAAGCTGCAATGAAATTTTCAACTAGATACTATAATGTATTCATGAGAGATATCAAACAAGAATAAAAAATAGTTAATTTGACAAATCACAAATTCTCTGTAAGGTTTCATTTTAAAATCAAGCTGTAGGGTCTGTCAGAGCTTTTTTCTTTATATATATATATATATTACTTTTTTTGTAGGCGAATAAGGATGACAAGTCCAGTATTGCCAACAAACGTTAATTTTTTTGGAGTACTGCAGTTGTCACTCTTAGCTTCCAAGAAAAAAAAAGTAAGGACTCTAAACAAAAAGACAAGAAAAGAGTTCTGTTAGATCCTGCAGATTAAAAATGTTCTTTCAAACATAAGAAAAATAAAATATGTAGACTCAGATACTGAATTGATAATTTCTCCTGTACTTATTCTGAAAATTTCATATGATTAGAATGTTTCTGATTGAAAATTGGTTTCAAACAAAAAGAATCTTAATGAATCAATTAGCGAGCTTATATAAATCAGTCAGTAGAAATATCATTCCTATCATATGTCAAAAAAGCTGTAGATTATTTACCCATATGTTTTCTCTTTGTATTTATCTCAACATGATGATAGTAATTGACAGGTGAAGAAAGAATAGCGTTGAGAATTGTCCTTCCACTTAAGTATAATTTAGTTAGTTTTGAAAAAGAAGACATTTCAACACTTTCATCTCTTGATAAAGTAATTATAATGATTCGATTCTGACAATATATTTTTTCATCGACTTCAGATTTATATCTTGACTAAACACCCACACATAGAATAGAAAAGCCCATGAGGACTGGAATGGGGATGCCTTTGTGTTTCAAGCTCTATTTTCTCTAGAAAATTCTAATCTCAAGGATGAACTTTTATTCTATGGAAGATTTAAGCAACAGATGAATAATTCTAAGTTTGACTCTCAAAAGTTTTTTCAGAGTTTTAGAAATGATCTTTAATACTATCTGAACTAAGTCCGGTGAGTAAAATTCTTTTTTTTTTTTGTTAAGTTAGATCTACCAAAGAAACAAGTATTTTTCATAGGTAATCAAATCTTGCGCATCTTAGAGATACACATCGAAGATCTTCTAATTGCATGAGAGTATGGGTGTAGATTTTCTCTTCATATACCAGCCTGTAAAGGAACTGTTAGGCAACAAGTGAATCAAACAACAAAATGAATTTCTTATTCTTCTATCTTTATTATATTGTTGAGTGACATAACAAATATAAAGGCAATAATGAATAGTATCATCTATTGTAATGTATCTCGTGCGAGAACAATCTAATGTATATACACAAGTGCTTCAATTGACATACAATATATTTATGCTTCATTTCCATATTAAGTTATAATCGAAGGACTATATAAAGAAAAAATATTTCTCTTGTGTTTTTCTCTAAATTGATTTTTTTTCCGGTAATGATCGAATTGTGGACAATTTTTCTCAATATACTTCATTCTTGAGAGTTGTTTTTTTTCTTTTTCTTTTAATCGATAGATATATGCGTGGACATTCAGATGAATCTTAAATAACATTAAGAGTAAGTACGCAAAAAATAAATTATAAGATTCATTTAAAAGTTGACCTTTAGAAAGCTGAATCTTGTCACTATAGTTTATATTCTTTTGAAAATTGTTTAGACTGTATTTAGTTTGAAACTCAAACTCTAAATTGTCTTTTTCTTTCAATGAACTTTGTACATTAGAATCATATATTTACCAAAGAAAAATCAATCATAAGAAGAAGAGATTTGTTTTTTTCTTTTTGAGTGACATTCAAAAGTAATTTCATCGAATTGAATTTCTAATCTTAACATACGACTTGTTGAATGCAATCTTAGACTCAAATCAGTAATATTTAGGATACAGGCAAGGATATTATGGTTTGTTTGATGATATTTTAACATGTATTTTGCTTCAACCATTGTCTCAGATATAGAGAAAAACAACTGCTAGCTAACTATGAAAAATGTCATCAATAATTAATATATTATTCCCATGTGGTTAGATGAATCCTGAGCAAGACATTCAGATTAACGTATGATGCTTATAAACTGACTTAGATTCATCTTAATTAAAAATTCGATTTTAATTATCAAAATAAAGAACGATTAATTTGTAAAACAAATATTCGATTAAATTATATAGGATTCTGCTGATTTTTATTAAATATTTGTTAAAATAAAACATAGTTTTCGTACGTTTTTTTTTGTGAATATTGTTCGAAGATAAAGTATTTTCAAATAATTTTGTTTGATTTAGTATCAGATAAAGTGACGTTTGACATTCTGATCTTTTTGGACTCTTGAACATTGCAGATTAATAACTGTTGCTGAGTTCATAAGAATAAAACCATCTCTCTTTAATTTTAACATGCACATTAGTTTTGGAATTATTCTGACATCCGATGATAATAATAATAGGTAGTCACGAGAAAGGCATTTAATTCCTAATTTATTCACTCCTTCGTGCTTAGATCAAATCATAAAGTCGTCTGAGTCAAACACCGGAAAAGAATCGAATCCGAACTGACATCTCTATAATGAAATATAATTGAACTGAATTCTAACTAGGCAAACTTGAATCAACTGGATGTTTGCTTTCATTAAGGGAAACATTGATAATTAGGAAGTCAAGGTCATCATTACATAAGCTTCATGAATTATAAATTCTGGTAAAGTTTGAAGTCTTTTTTTATTTTATTTAATACTTCATTAGAGATCTGAGAACAATCAATATGTAAACGATCTTATCTGCTTGACTCACATCCTCGTTTGACTTCATATTTTATATTAAAAAAATAAATTTTGTTTATTTTTCTTACACTGAAAATTTTAGCGTTTGAGAATAAGAATTTACCGAAAAAAGTAGACAATATCTTTCGTGAGCTCATTGACTGCTCAAAATAAAAATTCAGTTTTTTGATTGTTGAGTTTTTTTTTTTTGGGGGGGGGGGGGGGAAAAAAAAATTTCTTCAGTAAAATATAATAAATTTTCGGTAAAAACCCTTAATGGGCAATCTTTTATGAAGTTGGCTTTTTTAATAAATTTAA